CCAGGATGATAATGGACTAAACTTCTGAAAATGTAAGCCACTCCATTAAATGTTTTCCTTTAAAAGAGTTGCTGTGGCCATGGTGTCTCTTCACAGCAATAGAAACCCTAACTAAGACAACCACTACCCCGTATATACTATTTGTACTGTGTACCAACTAGAACCTGCTTTAAATTTCCATGCCAATTTCCAACCCCAGACTCTCTCAGGCAGGGTTAGTGGTTATTGAAAATACCACCAGGACAGGACTATCTACAGACAACATTTGGTTAGGTGTGCTTACTATTAAAAAAAAAAGGACACTGTACAGTTTAAAAACAAATCTCACAGCCTTATATTTCATTTTTTTTTCTTTTGAAGGAATGAATTGTGTTCAGGTGGGGGTGGGGTTAAATACCTGAAAACATGTCCAGCATGTCTAGTCATTAGGGAAATGCAAATTAGAGGCAAACGCTGGTGAGGGTGGAGGATAAGGTTCTGGAGTCACTGACGGTGGGAATACGAGTTAGCCTGACTGGTGTGCCAAGGACTATGGAAGTTCCTTAGAAAATAAAACGTCACTATCACGGAGATATCTGCATAGTCATGTTCACTGTGGTCCTATACATGATAGCTAAATTATGGAATTAGCCTAAGTGTTCATCAACAAATGCATGGATTAAGAAAATGTGATATATTACTAAATACACAGTGGAGTTTTACTTGGTCATAAGGAAGAATAAAATAATGTTGTTTGTAAGAAAACTGATGGAGTTGGGGATCATCACATTAAGTGAAATAATCCAGTCCCACTAAAAGATTTTGCATGTGTTCTTTCATACCTGGAAGCTGGGTGGTGAGGGGCGGGGGAAAGAAATTAAAAGTAGACATATGTAAAGAGAAAAGGAGCCTGGCTTGATGAGTGATATACGGAGTGAATATGATCAAAGTAGATTATTTACACAGGTCAAAATGTAATCCATTGTACTGCACAATTGATGAATATTAAAAAAAGCATAAAATAAAAAGTGCTGGAAGAAAGCATTTTTAAATAATTGTCAACCTAGTAATTCAAAAGGCTAGTTATAACTTAAAATTCAGAGCTAATAAATAATTAACAAATGTTATGTATAAATATAAACAACTTTTTTATGATGAAAGAATACCATCAATGTTATTAAAAGAAAAATGACTACAAAAAGCACATGAGCATATAAATAAAAATATTTTGCTGATCAATGATTAATCCTCATTATAAAATATTTAAAATAAAAAAACTTCACAATATTCTGTTTGTAGACTGTGGGGAAACAGGCATTTTTCTACCTTGTTGGTAGAAATGTAAAATGGTATAAGCCAAAAGAGAGAAGTTGGGACTGTTTGATAAGGTTTCATATGCATACACCTGTTGGTACAGCAAGCATGGTTCCAAGCATTTATCTAGAGTCATCTGAAATGCATGGATACACATATGCACACAGGTTTATCATAGTATTATTTCTGTGCAAATATTAGGAGCTGCTTAAACACTGAATGGTGGGACATGGAATGAACTACTATACATACACAATGAAGTAAAAGGCAGCTAGGAAAAAGAATGAGAAGATAAGATACCAATGGACTGGCATGGTAGCTGTTTAGGAAAAATGTTAGGAGGGGATAGGACAAAGTGTAAAAAAAACATGTTTGTTACCTTTTGTGGAAGAAAGAAGGGAAAATAATTAACACATGTGACTGTATCCCCTCAGTCCTGCTGTGTGTGTGTGTGTGTGTGTGTGTGTGTGTGTGTGTATGCACTGGAGTTACAAAAAAATTCTATTTGAAAACTGCTTTGTATGTATCATAGAACTGTGCAAACAAGTCCATCTGTCTGTGTTGGGAGTTGGGGATCTCACTTTGGAGAGAAAATGCTACAAATGTGAAGTGGAGTAAATAAGGATGGTCTAGATAAACACGTGTGTTCATCTATGGTTATGTCATAAGCATATAAGTTAACATTTATATATCTGTATGTATGTGTCTTAGGGTTTCTATTGCTGTGAAGAGACACCATGACCACAGCAACTCTTATAAAAGAAAACATTTAATTGGGGCTGGCTTACAGTTCAGAGGTTTAGTCTATGATGGTCATGGTGGGAAGCATGGTAGGACAAAGGCTGACACAGTGCTGGAGAAGGAGCTGAGACTTCTACATCTTGATCTGCAGGCAGCAGGAAGAGATTGTGACACACTGGCCTAGCTTGAGCATCTGAGACCTCAAAGCCCACCCCCAGCAACACACTTCCTTCAATAAAGCCAAACCTCCAGCGAGGCCACACCTCCTAATAGTGCCACTTCCTATAGTGCCTAGGGGAACCATTTTCATTCAAACCAACACATTCCACTACTTGGTCCCCAAAGGCTTTTCACCATATCATAATGCAAAATGCATTTAGTCCAACTTCAAAAGTCCCCATAGTCTATCACAGTATCAGCACTGTTTAAAAGTCCAAAGTTCAAAGTCTCTTCTGAGACACATGCAGTCTCTTAACTGTAATCCCCTGTAAAATCAAAATGAAAAACCAAATCACGTACTTCCAACCTATAATGGCACAGAATATATATTACTGTTCCAAAATAGAGGAAAGTGAGCATAGTGAGGAAATACCTATTCATGACTTACTGATAATTATTAACCAGGCCCTAGCCTCTGATGATCATCATTTTACTCCCAATGCTCTCATTATTAATAAAAAGCTGATTGGCTGATAGTTGGGCAGGAAGAGGTTGGGTGAGACAGCCTGAGATGGAGAGAATGCTAGGATCAAGAAGGGTGGAGTTGGGAGATGCCAGCTAGGCACTGAGGAAGCAGGATGTGTAGAAAATGAGGTAACAAGCCACAAACCACGTGGCAAAGCATAGATAAGAAATATGGGTTAATTTAAGTGTAAGAGTTAGCTAGTAACAAGCCTGAGCTATCATCCGAGCATTTACAATTAATATAAGCCTCTGTGTCAGTTATTTGGGAACAGGCAGTTGGGACAGGAAAACTCTGCCTACATTCCTACCCTTATATTTTCCTTTCAACTTCATGCTCTCACTCTTTCTTTCTCCACCTCTGCAGGTGGGTATGGAGCCATCCTTTATATTCTTTATTTGAGTGAGATTGTGTGGTACTGTTTTTCTGCGCCATAACTATTTTGATTAATGTAATGATTTCACTGTAAACCCACAATAATTAATAAATATTTGAGGGACAATAGCTTGAGGATAACATCTCTTTTCCTTAACATTCTTTTCAATGCTGACACTTAACAATGTGCACATACTTATGATTTAACACATAGGGTTGTCCAGTCTTTTAACACAGTGACATGAGTTCATAGTGTACAGATGTGCTGGGCTGTGTGTGGCCTGTGGACCACAGGTTGGATAAGCTTGTCAGTATGATAGTTTAATGGAACCAACCAACCAACAAAAACCCAAAACCAAAACAAAATGAGTTCAAGACCAGGTTGGGCTACATGAGACTTTGTCTTCAAAAAAACAAAAAAGACTGGGGAAGATGTCTCAGTGAGTAAAATGCCTGCCCCACAAGTATGAAGACCTGAGTTTGGATTCCCCAGAGCCCACATAAAAGCTGGATACAGCAGCACATATCTGTGTCTGTAATCCAGCACTGTGGTAGCAGAGACAGACAGATTTCCCAGGAGCTCTCAGGCTGACTGGTCTAGCTGAAATGGTAAGCTTCAGGCTCTGTAAAGGACCATGATGGAGAAGTCCTGGAGGAAAGACTGATTTCAGTCTCTGGCCTCTACATGCCCAGGCATGGGTGAACACATCCCTTACCTCACACACAAAAATAAGCAATAAGTAATAAATTGTTGTGAACTACAGTTGTAGAATAATGTAACTTTTCTTTCCTATCTTAAATGTGTTTTAGTATCTGTTATCCAATCTCTTGCTGTCTTTCATTGCTTGTCTTTTCAATATTTGGTCCCTGATTTCAGCATTTATCTTATGTTGTGAGGAGGTTTATAAAAATAAGGAAATATTTATCTGTTAGAAAAGAAAGAACTTAATTTTGACCCTTGTTTATTGTGTTTTCTGTAGAAAAATGATAGTAGATGATGACATCTACATGCAAAAGACAGAGGAACTCTATATTTATATTACCAAGTAAAAGAAGCAAATCTAAAAAGACCACATATTGGATGATTTCCAACTATATTAAATTATAGAAAAGGCAACTCTGTGAAGATTATAGAAAAGGTAGGTGTAGTTGGAGTTTTCTCCAGTCCTGCCTGGCCCACGGTCAGGACAAATCTCTCACCTGCCAGTCCTGCAGCTGTTCAGACCCAACCAAGTAAACACACAGAGACTTATATTGCTTACAAACTGTATGGCCATGGCAGGCTTCTTGTTATCTAGTTCTTCTATCTTAAATTAACCCATTTCTATTAATCTAAAAGTTGCCACGTAGCTCGTGGCTTACTTCTATGTTAACATCTTCTCATGGTGACAGCTGGCAGCTTCTCTCTGCCTTAGCCTTTACTTCCCAGACCTCTCCTCTCTCTTTGTCCTGCCTGGCTACTGGCCAATCAGCGTTTATTTGTCAATAAATCATCCATAGCAAGTAGGTGGTTGCCAAGAACTCTGGAATAGGGTTTGGGGCAGCAAGACTGTCCTGGATAACTTCTGTGCTGGTTTTACCTGTCACCTTGATAAAGCCTAGACTCACCTGGGAAGAAAGTTTTAATGAGGAATTGTCTAGAGTGGTTTGGCCTGTGGGCATGTCTGTGGAGGATTGTCTTATTGATTTGGAAAGACTCATGCTGTGGAATAATCCTTTTGCACACTGTAAAGATTTGTCATTCTAATTGGTCTAAAAAATGCTAATTGGCCAGTAGCTAGGCAGGAAGTATAGGCTAGGTGACCAAACTAAGAATGGTGGGAAGAGGAATGGTGGGGTCAGGAGTCGCCAGCCAGACACAGAGGGAACAAGATAAGAATGCTGTACTGAGAAAAGGTACCAAGCCAACATGGCTAAACACAGGTAAGAATTGTGGGTTAATATAAGTGTAAGAGCTAGTTGGTAATAAGCCTGAGCTACTGGCTGATCATTTATAAGTAATATTAAACCTCTGAGTCAGTTATCTGGGAAGCAGCTGCTGGGTATTTGGGAGTTGCTGGCTGGAGAGTAACTTCCATTCACAGATGCAGCTCACTGTGGGCCTCACCATTCCCTAGGCAAGGGGTCCTGAGCAATATAAGAGAGGAGAAAGCCAATTGAGAGCAAGCAAGCATGCGCTTTATTCTCTAGTTGTTCTTGATTGTAGATGTGATATGATGAGCTGCCTGAATTCCTTCCTTGATCTCCCCTGCAATGAAGGACTGTATCCTAGTAAGCTAACTAAACAAGATATTCCCTAAATTGCTCTTTAGTCAGGGCATTTTGTCAGGATAGAACCAGACTAGGACAGACCATGCCTAGCGGTCAATATGTGTCTCTATACATTAAGAAGTGTATAAAATAATGAGCAAACCCTCAAGTAGACTGTGAACCTTAGTTAACAGCAAAGTGGAAACACTGGCTCCTCCGTTCCAATAAGTGCCCACACTGCCAGTGTTAGTGATGGGAAACCATGTGTGGAGGGGGAGGAGCATGAATGGCTCTGTCTCCTGTTGGCCTTAAATTGCTAAGAACAAATTTAAATTAACATACATTCAATTATTTTAAAACTACATTTATTTATTTTGTGTGTGCATGTGTGTCTATGTGTGTCTATAGGTCAGAGGACAACTTGCAGGAGTCAGTTCCCTCCCACCATGTGGGTCCTGGGGATCGAACTCAGACCATCAGCCTTGGTAGTGAGCACCTTTACCCACTGAGCCATCTCGCTAGCCTAACTAAATTTAAATCTCCATCTCATAAATCCATCATCTACCATATCATTATTCATTTTCTCCTTGCTGAGAGACCCCCCCAACCCCAGTTCCCCCTAAGGTCTGGAGAGTTGAGGGAAGGGATATCTTAAAATAACCAGAACTGAGTCAGTTCCCCATTCCCAGACAGGGTGAAGTCAGAAGTTTTAGAAGTACAAAGTCAGGATGTCTGGTGGTGACTAACCACGAGACACCCCCTCCCCTGAGATAACATGACCAGACTTCGGAGATGGGCTGTAAAACTCCTGATAGAGCAAACAGACAAACTAAAAGAAGATAAAGTCCAGGCTCAGGAAAATTGGACCAATCAAGGATGGACCTGTACTAACCCCCTCCTTTCTGAGGAATTTTGAGGTTTTCGCCTTCAAAAGTTAATCTCCCCAAGAAAGAGGAACTCTCATCCCTGCCCCTCTGCTCCGGGTGCTGCAGATGAGAGCTCCCTGCTAGCTTGTACTGCACCAAAAAGTAAACCTTGCTGTTGCATTCTGGACATCCTCGGTCTCTGGTGGTCTCTTTGGTGGTCCTGGGTAATCTGGTAGAACATCTTGGGGGCTCGTCCGGGATCCCAGGAGACCCTGCCAGGACCTCCCCGAGAGTCCAGAGGTTCCTGGACTTCTACTGGTAAGATCGCTCTCTGTCTTGTTTGTGTCTCTATCTTGTTACTTTTGTTTGGTACAGTCGACCCATTTGTACTTTTGCAGGCTCTCACTGGGACAGCCGTGTCCAGACAGTGACTCTGGAGGGAAAGAGAGATGTCTCCTTCCCCAATCCGGGCAAGGAACCCCTTGGTCCTGAGCCACTTGAGGCCACATCAGAGGTGACTGTTTGGTTTCAGCAGCCTCCTCTGGGAAGTGATCAGGAACCTCTCCTGAGCATTAAATGACCCGTTAGAAGTGTTTTTGGATATCTGCCCCCACCACAGGAGGAAGTGCCAACTTGTACTTTGTCCCAGGAAATTGTTAAAGTCTTTTTGTGTCTTATTGTGGTTGTGGATTTTCTGTTCTCTCTCTTCTTTGGTTTTCATCTCCGACTTTCTCACTCTACTATGGGGAACACCCCGTCTTCACCCCTAGACTTAACTCTTGCTCACTGGCAGCATGTTCAAGAGACTCCCAGCAACAACAGTGTGATTGTCAAGAAGAGAAAGTGGGTCACTTTTTGCTCAGCTGAATGGCCCACTTTTAACGTCGGGTGGCTGGCAGGTGGAACCTTCGATGAAGCGACCACCCAGTGAGTAGAAGAGATTGTTTTCCATCCTCGCTCTGGCCACCCTGACCAAGTCCCCTATATTGTTACCTTGAGGGGCCTAATAGACAGGGAGGCGGGACCCCTTCCCTGGGTTAAACCATTCTTACCCCCCACAACAGGTTCCAGGCACTCAGGTCCTGGCCACCAAGCCCAAGAGCTCCCAAGCGAGCCAAGAAATGGAAAAGAAACCCACTGCTGTGTTCCAGAGGGGGACCCCTGAAGCAGAACTCTTTCCACCTCCCTATTCTCCCCCTACTCAGGTCCGTCCTACCACACCTATGGAGGAAGTTCAGGAGCCTCAACCAGTTGGAGACGAGGGGGGAGGGCCAGCACAGTCCACTTGCAGCAGGAGAGGGGGAACCCCCCAGCCAGACACCACAGTAGCCCTTCCCCTTAGGCCTGCTGGGCCCCTGGACAAGGCATGGAACCAGCCCTTTAACTATTGGCCCTTCACCCCTAGTGACCTATATAACTGGAAGGCCCAAAATACACCATTCTCTTGGGACCCCCCAAGACTTAACTAACCTTTTGGAGACAGTTTTATTCACTCACCAGCCCACATGGGATGATGTAAATCAGCTATTGGGGGTCCTCTTCACCACGGAGGAGAGAAACCGGATTCTGGAGAATGCTCGGAAACTAGTTCCAGGACCCACAGGCACCCACTTAGTGGATCCTGCCTTGGCAACAGCTGCTTTTCCATCCACTTGCCCTAACTGGGACTATAATACAGCAGAAGGTAAGGAGAGTCTCTGTGTATACCACCAAGCTCTGTTGGCAGGTCTCAAGGCTGCTACGCACATGCCTACTAATATGGCAAAAATTTATGATGTAAGGCAGGGGAATAGAGAAAGCACAGCATACCTAGAGAGGTTGATGGGGGCCTTCAAACAATACTCCCCATACAACCCAGAGTCTGAGGAAGCCCAACAAGCAGTTATTCTAGCCTATGTGAACCAGGCAGCACCAGATATTAGAAAAAAGCTACAGTTGCCAGAAAGACTAGGGAAGAGGAGTCTGAGGGACTTAGTGGCAGTGGCGGAAAAGGTTTATAATGAAAAAGAGACAGAGGAACAAAAGGAAGAGAAAAGGGAAAGAGAACGTCAAGAGAGAGAGGACAAGAGAGATAGGAGGCAAGAGAAGAGCCTGACCAAGATATTGGAACAGCAACAGACACAGATGGAGAGAGTGCTCCTGGCTGCAGAAGCAGGAAGCTATGAGAAGGAGAAAAGGTCCTGGCCTAAGCTAGGAAAGAACCAGTGTGCGTACTGCAAGGAAGAAGGACACTGGGCTAGAGAATGCCCTAAAAATAAGAGTAAGAGAGAGACGTCAGTGGGACTAGGAAGGAAGTCAACTTCCATCCTTGCCACCCTGGAGGAAGACAGCGACTAGGGAGGATGGGGCTCGGCCCCCCTCCCTGAGCCTAGGGTAACTCTAAGAGTGGAGGGGAAACCTGTCCACTTCATGGTGATACTGGAGCAGAAAGTTCAGTCCTCTTGACACCCGGGGAACCCCTGTCAAGAAAACAAACCTGGGTACAGGGAGCAACGGGCACTAAACCTTACCAATGGACTACCCGAAGAACAGTGGACTTGGGAGTGGGACGGGTAACCCACTCATTCCTAGTCATTCCTAAGTGCCAATACCCCCTATTGGGGCGTGGTCTGCTTGCTAAAATGAAGGCACAGATCCACTTCACTGATAAGGGTGCTCAAGTCAAACACCCTGATGGGAAGGCTATTGGAGTGTTTTTGACAATGCCTTTGGAGGAAGAATACCACCTCCATGAACAAGCGCAGTCCTCCATCAAATGTGCTGACACACAGATCTGGCTTCAACAATTCCCCACCACATGGGCTGAGACAGGGGGAATGGGGTTGGCCAAACATAGCCCCCCAGTTTATGCGGAACTTAAGACCAACGCAGACCCAGTGAAGGTCCGCCAGTATCCCATGACCCTGGAAGTCATAAAGGGAATCACCCCCCATGTGAGACGACTCCTACAAGAGGGAGTCTTATGGTCCATTCAGTCTGCATGGAACACACCCCTCCTACTGGTTAAAAAGCCACAGATGAATGACTACTGCCCTGTCCAAGACCTTCGAGAAGTCAACAAAAGGGTAATGGGCATTCACCCCACTGTGCCCAACCCTTATACTCTGCTAAGCATGCTCCCTCCAGATAAAGAATGGTATACTATCCTAGATTTAAAAGATGCTTTCTTTAGTCTCCCACTCGCATTGAGCAGCCAAGGTTATTTCGCCTTTGAGTGGCATGACCCAGACATTGGAATAAGTGGGCAACTGACTTGGACGAGACTGCCACAAGGATTCAAGTATTGGCCCACCATATTTGATGAGGCTCTCCATGAAGATCTGGGTGAGTACCACTCCCAGCACCCCGTGTCTCTCTTCTACAATATGTAGATGATATACTAATAGCCACCAGGTCAGAAGAGGAGTGCCTTGGTGAAACTGAAGATCTTCTAAGGACACTGGGGACACTGGGCTATTGGGCCTCAGCCAAAAAGGCCCAGATCTGCAGGAAACAGGTAACTTACCTAGGGTATGTGCTGAAAGAGGGAAAGAGATGGCTGTCCGAGGCCAGGAAAGAAACAGTGTTAAAAAATATCAATACCTAGGATGGTAAGGCAAGTCAGAGAGTTTCTGGGCTCTACGGGGTTTTGCAGACTGTGGATCCCAGGATATACTGAAATTGCTCGCCCCCTCTATGAGGCCACGAAAGAACAGACTTTGACTTGGAACTCTGAAAGGTTTTTGCCTTCAAAAGCTAACCTCCCCAAGAAAGGGCAATTCTCCTTCCTGCCTTGCTGTGCCGGGTGCTGAGGATGAGAGTTCCCTGCTAGCTTGTACTGTGCCGCCAAAAAGTAAACCTTGCTGTTGCATTCTGGACATCCTTGGTCTCTAGTGGTCTCTTTGGGGGTCCTAAACTGGGCAGAATACTTCCCACCCTTCCTCTTTCCCTCCCTCCCTCTCTTCCTTCCTTTTCTTTTCTTTTTGAGACATCTGTGTATCACCAGCCCTGGCTCGGATCCCAGCAGGCATGCTGTCTTCAGGAGTTGATGAACCCTCGGAGGTGAGGTCTGGCTGGCGATACTGGGTCTATGGAAGCGTGAGAGACTGGTAATGCTGCCCAACTCCCCTGAAGCCCAAGCAACCAACCGCTCTCACTGTGATGTCTCTGTGTCTCCTGAAGGCTTGGGCCAAAAGAAACACTTCCCTTAAATTGTTCCTCCTTGGGTCACAGCACACAGTCCTTCGGGGACAGAACGTGAGAAAAACTGAATGAAAAAAGAAATAAAAAGGAAAGGACATGACTGCTCCTAGGTGTGGTGGAGGAGAAGGTTTATTGTAGATAAAAGGGATATTTACTGTAGATAGACAGAGGCAGACACATCTGGGAGGGTTCAGAGTGCTCATGACCCTGAGCCATGTGAGGAGAGGCAGAGGGGAGGAAGAGGGGAGAGAGGCCAGCCAGGTGCAGCAGCCAGGAGGCCCAAAGGTTCAAAAGGGGGAAAGGGGTGGGTAACCAAAATGGTTGGATTGTATAGGGAAGAGCAGCCCAGTTCCCCTGGGCTGGAGAGTTCGGGTAGGGGGTGGGGTATGCAAGGCTGGAGGATCCTGTACCAGGTAGGGCCTGAGGGATGCTGGGAGAACCTGGCAGCCAGTACTTGGACTTCTCCAAACTGCTGGCCCTTGACAGAGTTTGTTGGTTTTGGTGTTGGGCTTTTATTTTTATTTATAATATTGGTTCTGGGTTTGATTTTGGTTTGTAACTACATTTTCATTTCTAGATCAACACCCATTTCCCTTTTAAATTATTGTTGCTCTTTACAATTTCAGCCTTGGTTTCTCTTATTTTAAAGCTTTTGTTGGTGTGTATTGACTGTGTACAGTAACTTCATTATGACTTCTCCATACCCACCTGTAGTGCACTTGAATCGTGTTCACCTGCTCCATTTCACTTCCTCTGTCCCTTCCATGTGAAGGATATTCCCCTTTTACAGAAATTGAGTCTCTTCACTGCCATTCACTTAGGAGACCAAACATGATATTTGTGTTTGTGGAACTGGCCTGTTTCATGTAACATCATCTCCAGTTCCACCTATTTTCCTTAAAAAAGAGACAACAGTTTATTTTTCTTTGTGGCTGAGTATGGGGCTCTTCCCAGGATTCTGCTTATATGCTATATTAGTATAAATTTATATATGGAATCATCCTTGTATTACTGAGTAAACACATCTTTCCTATGTAGTATTTTTTTTATGTGTATGGGTGTTTTGCCTGTATTTATATCACATATGTACCATATGTGTTCCTGGTGTCCACAGAGGCCAGAAGAGGGCATTGGATCCTCTGGACCTGGAGTTACAGACAGTTGTGAGCTGCCATGTAGGTGCTGGGAATTGAGCTCAGGTCTTCTGCAAGAGCAGCCAGTGCTCTTAACTGCTGAGCCATCAATCCAGTCCCATAGTATGGTCTTTTTCATATGTTGCTGAATTTTGTGTGAAGGATTTTCATATCTCTGTTCAGCAAGGAAATTGGCTTCCATTTTCCTCTTTGCTGTGCCTTTGTGGTTTTGCTAATGGGGAAGTATTGGCTGTGTAGAATGATGTGTTCTTTTCCTTTCTTATTTATGGCATATTTTCAGAGCATTAATGTTTTTTCTTCTTTAAAGGTCTGGTAGATTCATCACCAAATCCATTAGTGCTGGAATCTTCTTTGTTGGGAGACATTTTTTTTTCTTACTAGTTCAGTGTTGTTGTTTATTATTGATCTGTTTGGGTGTTTTATTTCAATATTGTTGGTTACTGGTTCGGGACTGGTCTGCTCATTGCTAAATATTCCTTGTAGGAGGGATTATTAAAAAACAAACTGTTAAAACAATATATTTAACAACCTATCCCAGACCTTATTACAAGGAGACAATATGGTCTTAGATGCCCAATAGCTGAGTTTGATGTCACTGGCTTAGGATGAGTTATAGTTAAGAAGTCACAATAAGCATTTGAAAGTGACCCGTGCTTGAAGGCTCTTCCTTTTACAACAACAGATCCAAGGCCATTTTGCAGAGTTCCCCTAGAAATAGGCAGATTTCAAGAACCAAAGAATTTGTTTCTTCTAACCACACCCTCAGACTCTGACATGCCCCACTGGGACCTGAGTTAACTATCTTCAAAGCATACTAATAGTGTTTTTCTTCTTTTCCATATGGGTATGGTGTGTGTGTGTGTGTGTGTGTGTGTGTGTGTGTGTGTGTGTGTGTGCGTGTACATGCGTATAGTGTGGTGTATGCACGTTT